CCAGCAGCCATGGCCACTGCAGACACCACAGCCTCACCCGCAGGGACTGCAGCCTGCCGGGGACCCCCGAGCCAGCAGCCCATGGCCAGGAGAACAGGGTCTGCAAACACACACGCCCCAGCCAGGCACAGTGAGGAGTTGAAGGGCATCTGGGCAGCTCAAGCCCACACCCACCCACACCTCTTTGCACCCTGTACCTTTTGCTGCATACCAGCCCCCCAGACCAGGAATGACCAGGCCGGAACCCTTCCTAGGGGTACACAGCCCTGCACAGAACTATGAGGGACCCTAAGGATCCAGATGAAATGGCCAAGCAGGACACGGGGTGGCCGGAGGAGGGCAGGCCAGGACCTCATCACTGTGCCCAACAACCCGGGGTGAGAAGACGGGCATTTTCTACGGGACACGTTTCAGATGTGCCAGAGCCCACCGGCAGACAGACACCAGCTGCAGGAGCAGTGGGTTCCAGCCGTGCCAGCGAAGACGGCGTCGCCATCCCGGAGCAGGTGGGCAGCGCGTGCCCTCAGTACAGTGCCCGGAGCAGGTGGGCAGCGCGTGCCCTCAGTACGGTGCCCGGAGCAGGTGGGCAGCGCGTGCCCTCAGTACGGTGCCCGGAGCAGGTGGGCAGCGCGTGCCCTCAGTACGGTGCCCGGAGCAGGTGGGCAGCGCGTGCCCTCAGTATGGTGTCCGGAGCAGAAAGCACAGCCCTCAGGATGTGCAGGTCCCTGAGAGTGACCACGAGCAACCGCAGACGTGTAGACCCAGACCTGGGGGTGCACCAGAGAGAGACTCGCTCCTCGGAGCAGCGGCCCCACCCCGCAAAATGTCCGGGAGACACACACAGAGGAACTCCGGAGAGGCGGCCGAGTGCATGCACAACCTCAGACTTCCTTTTTCTCACCAGCTGGTGAGATCTGAATGAGGTCTCCGTGTGTGATCATTAACCTCCTGAATCTGGCAACTACGCTGCAGAGATTCTGGAAGAAATGTGCTCGCTTTTAGGAAATATTCCTGTAAGGGGCACCATGTCAGCTGCGTATTCCCAGCAGTGCAGAAACAAATGTGCAAGTGATAGATGGAGACCCAGGGCGAGGTGGGGGCAGGGGGCGGGGGCAGGAGGGACACGGCCATAGCGGGGGTGAAAGACGGGGAGCC